GCTTCATTTTACGAGACCAAGAATAGAAAAATTAAAAAAAAAGTGGCAATACGAATGAGTGCCCCCTCCCTGCCGAGCAGATTGCAGGTTCGCTATCCGGATAGAAAAGCCCTCCACTTCATTCGCATTGTGCAATAGTGTGTTGGCAGGTCTCCACTGCAGCATCGGAACGGCGAAAGCAGCAGTGCGGCCAACGCGAAACTGCCCTCTTGGAAATGCCGGCACACTGCGTTATCAGTTACTCACCCCGCCACGAGTGTTTTTCCCGGCGGTAGTCCGGCACACCTCGTCGTACCTGGGACAACGAATGTATTTAGGCCCGCTTGCATTGTCCGTTGCAATTGACTGGCCCTCGGGGCAACTGTGCCAATCGTCGTTGCCCTGGTACCGCACCTGCACCTTACCATCGGTGCACTGCACTTGGGCACACACACCACTCACCGGTTTCATTTTTCCAGGGTATTTGATGCTCGGCACCTGGAACGTTTCCACGTCCAGGCACAACGAGCCAGGCCCGGTACGGGAGCCAGGGATGAATGTGGCGGCCTCGATGGCGCACATACTGTAATACAGCTGCTGGCCGCCGTACGCGTAGAAGGGAATAATCATTGAGCACGTGCTGCTCTTCGTCGGCGCAACATCCACAGGCACTCTGGTACAGAGTCCGACGGAGGAGCGGTCAGATGAGCAGCGAATGTGGGTATCCGCGGTGCTGCAGAACATGTCTGGATAGGAACGGTTGCTCTCACTGTGACACGTTTGCTCTAAAAACGCACATGTGGAAGCGTTGCCCCAGTTCATCGGCTCCGCCTTGCCCCAATTCGCGCGGTAATACCCCATATCCTCAAACACGGAGAGCGTCAGAGCGGAGTAGCGACCGCCCGTTAAAGAAGGCCATGGACCCATCAACTCGTCCTTCGCAAAGCTGAACGAAAAGTGCGCCGCCACATTGCCTTTACTCAACTCCTCTAGCACCATACCGGGGAATTTATCGCAGCCGTAGTGTTTCCGCCCCGTCTCCATTGTTTTGCTTGAACTTATCACCGTCACGCCTCCCGTGCCAGGCAACTGCCGCGTAGACAGCATCCCCAGACGCTTCATCCGCCCGTAGACAAATCCGAGAGCATGCGCAATCTCATGCGCGGCACGGCGAACGTTGAACGTCTGCCACGCGACTTCACGAAGGAAGATGTGCATGGCTCCCGCCGTGGGACGCGTGTCTCCCCACGTATCACATGGACTGGCCCACGTTGAGCTGTCTGTTCCAGCGGCCACATAGAGCACCATGTCGGCATTCGCAGCACCCTTTCTCAAGTGAGGCACGGGAACAGCGAAGTGCCTGCAAAGACTCCTCTTGTCCCTGACCATGGACAGATCCAAGCGGCCGCGAACAAGCTGAACAAGGAGGCGATCCGCATGCATCTTGATGGCGTTAGGAATGATGGTTTTCATGATCATATTCTTCTTCTGGGTGTCAAGGAGGTGCTCACGTGTGCAATCTTTGAGCTTCCCCTTAAAGTCCGGTTTTTTCTCCCCCACGGCAGTGCAGTGCTTCGCCGGGATTTTGAGGTCCCCGTAGAACGCCCGGATGCGGATGGGTGCCCATTCAGCGCTGCCAGCTCCGGCTCTGGCGACGGTGTACGCCTGTACCGCGCCCTGCCCCTTGCGCGGCACCTCTCGCACCACCGCAGCCGCCGGCGGTGGGTCGCTGTTCATCACCGCCTCGGCAAAACTGCTCTCGGGCCTCAGGGCAGGAACCTCGGCGAGGCACCCGCTGGCGCAATACAGCAGCACCGCCGCAGACTGCAGGATCGCAAAGTAGATTAGGGCGAACATGGTGCGAATGAAGAGTTGAGACTGTCGAAGAAAAAAAAAAGTCACTTGAGCCTTCGCAAGAGGGGCCGATAAAAAAAAAACAAATGGATAATACAAACGAGAGTTCCTGTTTATTATCATTAAGCCGCAAAGGACGTTACATCACAGAACAGCCACAACCAACGCATGGACCCCCAAGCTCGTGAAGGGAAAGAGAGAGAGAGAGAGCAGATGTTTCACCGGCACACAAAAAAAAGGATATCTACAACTGTGAATATGCGCAGGTATTTGGGAGTGTACTTCTTGCCGAGGCAGGCAAGTAAACAACTAAACAGGGCAAAGGTGAACGCACGGCGAGGGGCGGAAAGAGAGAAGGCAAAAGCGGAAACTAGCCCCTTTTGAATTACGCCCTGCCACTCACGGCCGCATTACAAGGTCCAGTAAACGTTTCCTGTGGTGGATATGGCGTTTAGAGCCTTGAGCGCTTTTCCCTGCGAGGCTGTGGCCTCCAGCACGGTGAGTACACCCGCTTCAGAGGAGGCACTCCCTGCCTCGTGCATCGACGCGAGCGCACGGAGGGCAGCAACCCACGAACAATGCTTTGTGACACCCAGCACATCGTCATACACCGCAGTCGGAAGTCGCACACCGCGGCTATGAGCCCGTTCCATCCAGAACAAGGCACTTTTCCAGCGACCAGCGAGCACAGATGACTCGATGCAGAGGTTTATTTCTGCCGGGGCAACGGCGGCACGGTTAGAAAAGCACAGGGTCATTGCCTGAGACGCCAGTAACCATCTTCCCTGCTTTGCCACGTAGAAGGAGAGTGTCGGAAGAGCACCAAACTGCTTTCGCGCAACCATGGATGCCATGAAGTGTGTCGCGAGTTTCCAATGTCCTGACTGCCCGGTGAGGGTGCGAGCCAAGACGCACGCGTCATTCTCTGTCATCGCAAGCGGGCGAACGTATTCCTGTAACTTCTCTCCCACATGGGAAGGAAGCATCGTTGGGTCTTGTGCCATGAGGACCTTCAGCAGCGAGTTAAGATTCATCACGTTGGGTTTCTTGCTATAAAGCTGGGTCGCCAAGTCAACGACAGTGTCCGGAATGAGTGGAGGATCCTTCGCATTTTTCACGGACGCCTTTAGCCAATGCGCCGCCAGTTCCCTGCCGCGTGGGGTATGAAGGCACCTCAGCAGTACATCCACAGTGGACTCTGGTTCACGCGCCAACATGTGCGCGTAACACTCTTGTAGCCGGTCCACCCGACGGTCAGCAACCAAAGGAAGAATGACGTGGTAGAGAAACTGTAACTGTTGCCCCTTCACAGACCCCACCCCACTACCAACTTCATTTACACTACTCTTGTGGTCCGTACTGCGCATGACACTTGCCACAAGTCGTGTAAATCGCGGCTGCCGCTCTTTCTCCAGATATTCACTATACAGGTGTAATGCTTCTTCCCAGTTAAACTGGGCATTCACAGTCAGACAGCACGCATAGACCGCCAGAGTCCATTCGTCATGGAACGGCTTCACGGCTTGATAGAGGGCCAGACTGTTTTGCTCAACTTGCCTACAGGCATCAAACAACGCTACTAGCACCTCATCTGAGACAAGAAACTCCTTTGCATGTGCCAGATAGCACTGTATCGCTCGCTGCGTTTCCCCAGCCCGCAGGAGTGTCCGTAGCACCGCCTCGAGATTCCTCTTGGTGAGGTAGGCGTAATGCCTGCCCCTCCTCGAGCCTTCCGTCACGTTCAGCGCGGCCTCCCAGAGACCCTCCTGCTCCATAGTCTCATACAGGCGGGACACCTCCGCCAGGGAGTAGCTATGGAGAGACGCCGCCACTTCCTTCACGGAGCATTGAAGAAGATCCCGCACAGGCGGACGACGTTGTTTCATGCGGTGGAAGTGGCGGTGTGGGACGCATGGGTACTCGTGCACAACGTCCCCAGTAAAGCTTCCAGCTATACCGCTAACAACAAGCGTGTCCGTTGCCGCGGAGGCGGTGGGTGTGGGTCCACCAAGATCTTTGCCCGGAAGCAACGCGCACGGTGTTGGGCAGTTGCGAGCAACCGCCTCCGCCCTCCGTGCAGCGTAGGCGTCGTCGCCCGTCACAAAAGAGACTGTTTTGTAGACGCTGGACCTCACCACGTCGCCGCGCTTTGCCCACAGCAGGGGCGAGGCAGACGCCACAAGAAGAAGGACATCATCTAGGCCAAACGGCAATACCATCACTCACATCCGCCTCACCCACACTCACTCACTCACTCACTCTCTCCTTCTTTTCCCACCCACGCAGCCAGACACACTCTCGCGCGCGCGCTCTGAACTGCGCTTCCCCTTCGCTCTTTCTTCTTCGCGAGAAACAAGAGAATGCGGCGCAGGGGAAGTGAGAGAGGACAAACCAACAAAAACACAACAAAGCAGGCACACGGAAGCACAATAGCCCAAACAATTTCCATTTCCTTTGACTCTACGCACATTTCTATTTGATGCAGAAAGGGGCTCCCCTGGTAGGAAAAAGGCGGATGTAGCCGGAGGAAGTGAAAGCCAGCGGCAGGACGCATTGCAACTTACGTCTCATCGCGTTTGTCCTTCGTGCCCTTTCTTCTTCTGCTGGAGGTGATTCTCACCTTACGTTCTTCAGCACCCTGTCGCACGCGTCATTGCATTTCATCACAACGCTTCCCCCAAACTATCCAAAATCTAACATCGTTCGCCATCCAAGCATTCAAAAAAAACGAAGACAAAAACGGATACAATACAATAATACACACACACACACACGCACACTTCCTGCGGCATACATGCATTTGCAACTCTTAGCCTCTACACAACACGAGGTCCCTCTACGAGGTGCACCTCACCAATGCGGCCACCAAATGTGACTTGCGGGTAGCAGCTGCGTGTGGCGTTCCATTGGGGTATACGCCCATCATCGAGTCGCTTGCCCTTCCCATCGTGAATGGAAAGTTTTGCGTGTCCCACGTTTGGGTTTACCGTCACTCGCAGTAGAAACACGCGCCGCGTGTTGCCAAGTGTCACCACCCAAAGGTGGCTCAAGTCGGGAGTGCGACTCGCAGCCCACGCCTTCAGACCAGCCCCAACCCCCACGCCGATACCCACCCACTCGCCCGGATCGTCCACCCGCAGTGCCCACTCGAGGCATTTTGGTTTCCTCCTAGCGCCTCTCACATCGTCGTCATCTGCCACGAGCTCATGAATAGGTACATCAAGCAGGCACGTTCCGCGGCATCCCGGAATGGTCACCCACTGCCCCGGACGCCTTCGCCGGAGCGGCGCACGGACCCCATCCACATCAAACGACATACTTTGGTCGCGAAGAAGAAGCGGTATGGGCCGCTGCCGCGGGGACTCCCTGGACATCCCACAGCGTCTGGAAATGCTCCCCATTCGACGTTGGCTTCTCTCTTGGGAAGGCCTTGGTCTCGGCGCCCTGATAGGTGATAGGTCCTCTAATTCCGCACTTCTCCTCGCCACTTGGCTTCGCCCTCTACGATCTTGTTGGTGCTCCTGCCGATGCGCTTCCTGCAGTAACTCCCGCTCCTCCCCAGCCAGAGTGGAAAACGGCGAACGGGGGCAGTGCAACTTGGTACTCGCCAACACTGGCGACAGCGACTGCACCTCCGCCATTACGGACTGCAGGTTTGGGCTGAGTTCGCTTCCGAGCGCCGAGAGCTCAAGCGACTCCAGTGAAATGGGCTTCGGGAACTCTTCCGAGGCATGCAATGCGTTCGCCACAGTGGCAATCTGCATTGAATAAAGCGGCTTGGCACCTTCAGTGCGCAAGTGGTCAATTGCGGCCTTTAGCAGGCGAACATGTTCGTCCTCGGCGAGAATCTCCTTTGCGACACTGCTCATGGAGTAGCCAAATGCAACATCACAGTACTCTAAAAACTCCTCCCGCTTCGCCTTAATAGCAGTCAGTAGCAAATCAAATTGCTGATTGACGGCATCTTTTTTGTGTTTCGCAATAGACACAAGCCTTTGATGCTGATTCACCCAACGTGCGGCAGATTGTTGCCTCTCTTGCATCTGCTCTGAAAGCCGCCCCAAAATTCGGAGTCGAGAGTTCCCGTCAAGGACCTCCGGGATGACAACAAGGTCCTCGGCGTGGGACGCGTTCTTTGAAACACACAGGGCACACAGCAACCCCTTCGAGAAGCGATCAAAGAGCTGCAGCTCTTTGTGGTGCACGGGACACTGGGGCTCAGACTGCGCCACGGAATACGGAACCCAACGCACCGTCAACATTGCGAGTGGAAGCGCAAACTTCAATGGATCCTTAAAAACGATCGCGGAGTTCTCCAGAACAAAACAACTCGTGGCAGCGGAGTTGGTCTCAAGGATATGCTTCGCCTCAAGCACTGTCTCCGCAAAGAGCATGTTTCCCGGCGCGGCCTCGTAGAGAACGATGGGTGTATCCAAGTACTCGGGGGATTCGTCATAGCTAGCCGGTGTTCCGTCCGACTCCAACAGCCGCAGCTGCGGGTAAAAAAATTGATTGGGCAAAACCCCTTTTGTCGCAACAAAAATGGTTTTATACTCCTTAAGGCCCGAAGCCCCCTCAGGCTTCCCTTTCATGAGTCGAATTCCATGTAGTTTGGTAACCTTGCCGTAAAATTGCTGCGGCGAGAGAATAGAAAGAAACTGCTCCACAATGCGGCTGCGAAGACTGGGGGAAAGTTTCTCTTCACTAACAGCCATGGCGTTCTCCTCCCCAGAGAGCCCGGAGAGAGAAGAGCTTCTCAAAGCTTTTGTGCCCTTGTCTCGCTTCTGACTCTTAGTGTGTTCCAGAACACCCGGCGAAATATCAGACGCCGTGTCCGACGCAGGAACTCGCTTCCTGTTTCGTTGATTTATAGGAGTCTCGGGTATTTTTCCAACTAACTCAGTGGATCCAGCACTTGCGCGGTGGTTTACCGAGTTGTGCGAATTCGTTTCCTCATGGTGTGTCTCATGACTCTCAAGGCGTTTACCCTCCCCGCGAGAGATACTGCGAGAAGAATTTGGCACAGACCCCAAGAACGCTTGAGACCCTTGGTGTGACACGCTGCCTCCCCGAGCCGCTGTCGCATCATCATTTTGGACTAAAAACAGGGTTGGCGACGGGGCGACCTCCTCATTAAACTGTAGCGAAGAGCCATTGGAGAGGCCGTGGAGATTCCGTTCCGGGGACCCCTCTACTGCTGGCGTTCGCTCCACGGAAGAGCCCTCTTCAAGAACAAAGTGCAGTTCACTATCGCTATCCGTGAGGTTCCGCGGGGCCTCAGGTCTCAGCTTCGACTCATCTACATCGTTCAACTTGGGCTTAGAAGACGACGGCGGTGTTTCTTTGCCTTCTTCTTCAGGTATCGGAGGAGGAATTGCGCGCCCCTTTTCTAGCGAGGCACTACTGCTACGAGGTACGGGAGGAGAGCTGGGAGGCTGTGAGGACACCGCGGTGGAAGTTCCCAATTGGCCCACCCCCAACGGCGGAGCAGGCGCCGCAGACTTCCTTGGCGGCAAACCTCCCTGTGGAGGCGGTACCATAGGGCTCTTTGACGCCGACGCCATCGAGCTTGACGGTGGCGGTGGCACCATTAGCATTTTTACAGGTGGTGCACCAGGCATCATCTTCTTCTTCATCATTCCGGGCGGTGGGGGCCCTTTTATAAGTTTTGCTCCAGGAGGCAGTGGAGGGCCCTTCATCATCATCATCTTAGCGCCCGGATGAGCAGGAGAGCCGCTCATAAGCCTCATCCCAGACGGCAGTTGTGGTTGGTTTCCGTGCGGCTGTAGCAAATGCGAGGACGCACTCCCGCGTTGACTCAGAGGAGCTGAATGCAAGAGTTCCGGTGTCTGGGACCTACTCATCGACCGCGGCGGTGGGAGCACGCCCGCAGGATGCATGGCGGCTCCCTGCTGCGCCGGCGGCAAAGCACTTTTGGACTTCACTGACGCTGGCGGCGTCGTTGCCGCCAGCGTCGTCTGAGTTTCGACGGGGGAGGGAGACGAAGTTCCAGTCCCTGGCGGTGTCAGCTGCCCGGAGGAACCGTGCGAGGGGTGGCGCGGCATTGTTTCCGTCGCGATGCTCTCGGACACTTTTGTCCCTGACGAAGCGGCGGCGGCGGCGCTGGTCTTACGCTTTTTCTTAAAAAACGAAATCATTGCCTTTCCCCCCCCCCACCCCCTCTCTCTCCAACTCTCTCTCTCTCTCTCTC